CGCTATGCGGCCATCTGCCAGCCTCTGCACTATGAGTCTGTCATGAACAGAGGAGCCTGTGTGCAGATGGTAGTTGCATCATGGCTCAGTGGATGTGTCTATGGATCTGTTCATGTCTCAGGTACATTCTCTGTCACGTTCTGTGGGCCCAACTTAGTTAATCAGTTCTTCTGTGATATTCCATCATTGCTTACACTGGCTTGTTCTGGGGACCAGGTTTTAGAATATGCGTTTATCATTGCTAGCTGCTGTTTTGCTTTTGCATGCTTTATCTTAATGGTTGTATCCTATGTTCACATTTTCTCAGCTGTCTTAAGTATCCCATCTTCACAAGGCAGGTTCAAAACGTTCTCTACCTGTATGCCCCATCTAACTGTTGTGACGTTGTTTCTCTCCTCTGGATTCATCGCGTACTTAGGGTCGGCATCCAAATCCTCCTCATCAATGAACCTCTTCATGTCAGCCTTGTACTCCTTGTTCCCTCCCACATTGAATCCAATCATTTATAGTCTGAGAAACAGGGATGTGAAGGTGGCACTTGGTAGACTGTTCAGAGGGAAATTTCTCTCAAAAATGTGAATGCATTTATATGAATTTTTTTTCATTTACTAGTGGATATCAGATGATTGTGTTCTAGATCTCTTTGGATTACAGGTCTTTTAACCCTGATGGTACAATAGTTAGGTTCTAACTGCTACCAAACAGCTTAGCATTTTTGAGCCCAACAACTTCTTCCTGAAATATGAAATCCCAGAAAATTCTACATGGCACTTCTACTCTGACCCTAAAGGGTAATTATTAGTCAGAATTGACTCAACAACCAACCTGAATATATTTTTAAAAACAGGTATGTTTGATTTCATCTCACTAGTACATAGAAGGCAACTTCATAGCATTAAATATGGCTTAATGTTTGAAGACTGTCTTGGGAATTCCAGTCCACTGGAAATCTTCCAATTATTGTGCTGTTAGCAGGACTCAGGTCTGAGGAATTATTAGTCATATCATATTAATCATCACCATTCACTTCCTTATTTTGGATGATTTTGTTATAGTTTTAAAATATACAAATTGTAATACAATTTCAGTAAGCCTCATTTTAACTCTTTCAATAATTAAGCTGAAAATGAATAACTTCAGATATTTATGATCTGTAATTTGTTTTTATTTTATTGACAAGGAAATTATTCATGAATACAGAGCTTTAAAATTTATAAAAAGCGTCCCCCAATTGTTACCTTGCAATTATCACACTCAAAATACTCTTTTAAAGGAGTTTTGAAAGAAATCTATTGATAATAAGTGTCAAATAAAGAATTTTAAGATAGTGATAGTAAATAACAGTGAAATGGTAAAACTCTTATGATGTATCCCAATTTCTGAAATAATATGTTGTATTAAAATATACAGAAGTTACATACATATGGGCAGCCACTACTTCTTTAACCTGCACTTTTTATTCTTAAATCTTAACCTTATAAAAAGTATAATAATATAAATAAATCTAAATTTTAAATTCACTTATTAAAATACATCTGTATTTAATTTTAATATAAATGTAGTCTTTTGTCATTAGATATTTTCTCAATTTACATTTATCTATAACTTTCTTCTGAATATTCACGCAATATTGTTGAAAATAATGTCCTTTTTCCCGATGCTTTTTACCTTTTCTTTTATTTACATGTTCCTTGCCCACATTTTTCTCCCCGTTTTATAACTTCTCTGGCTCTTTTTCTGTTTTGCATTTCAATATTTGCTTCCTTCCTTACATTGAAAAATAATCCTGATGATAATAACTGGCTGTCTGTTCATTTAAGTCTTTTACGTGGATGTACCCATTCTGTCCTCACAAAATATTACTAATGTCTTTACGCTTTTGAATTTGGGAAAAAGAAACAGAGGAACATATCCTAAGTTATATATCTAGTAAAATATATAGTAGGTTCTGTAATTATATGATCATAAATTTTGTATACTATTCAGCACTTACCAAGCACATCTTTGTATACCATCCTCATACCATCAGAACATATTATAAATTATTTTTTATTGATTATGGTATGTTTCCTTTCAATATCTAAATCAGAATAAAGCAATAAACATTCAATGGTTAACATTTGTTGTAGCAAATATTAATGTTATCATTGAATAACTACATAAACATGCTGTTATTTATCTGTAAAGAAATCCTACTGTGTAATAAAAACAATGTTGGTAGAAGCTTATATATGATATGCAACAAATAAAATAAATCCAAAAGGCACAATGGTGAGTAAAAGTTCTTCTTTAAAAAAGTTTTAAACTGTATAATTTCATTTATATGATATGACGGGAACCCTAAAAGTTTAGGAATGGGAGCAGGTCAGTGATTGTCAGAGGTTAGAACTGAGTGATGATTTAGCTATGGAGAAGCAGCATGTCTCCTCATTTTGAGGGTAGCAATTTATTCATGTGATACAACCCATAGAATTGTACCCCAAATGTATAATAAATGTTTACTGTTTTTACAATTAACCAAGAAGAAAAACAACACTTAGAGAAATGTAAATGTTTGGTATCTTTTGTGCCCAATCTCACATCCGGTTTTTGCTTACATTGAAAGCTATTACTGCAACATCAGCTCAATATTTTCTGATAGCACATGTGGAATATAACTTGTAGTTCATGATTTCTGTCTAGGGCTTCTGGGATGCTGTATCCGGAACCAGCATAGGAAAGTTAAAACTAACTTATGAGGAAACTGAGGAAAAAAGTTAGAGGAATTGGTCTACCATTTCTATGTCTTGGGCAGATACTTATGTTCATACTTAATAATAAGTCCAATTTCCCAGAATTATATCCAGATAAATTGTTCATTCTTGGATTGACACTTCTCCCTGTGTGTTTCACTACACTTAGTTTCCATTCATGTTCCAAGAAATCATTTCCTCAAGTTCACCAGCTATGCAAAGTTTCTATCGTTAGATCTTGTTTGGGGGTGGAAAACTAAAGGAGTAAATTAGTAAAATTTATAAAGAAGTGCAACTTTGTACTCATATGCTATTATATAATCATGCTATGATAATTTTATACATATTTGCTTAGATTATAATTACTGTCTCAGCCATCATGGGTTAAATTATTAATTCCTCTCAATTATTTATATTTTAAATGCTTTAGGCTATTTAATTTTCATTTACACCTATAATGCAGCATATGAACATTTTCAAGCTTTTCAGGCTTAATTCAAATTGAACTCCACTGCCACAAATCTGCTCTGGGGTCAAATTAGTTCTCCTGGCTTCCTCTGCTTCGTAGAGAATCCAGAACAAGAATGACTCAGTTGAACTTGAGTCATGCAGACACACAGCAACTGCTCCTGGAGAGCTGGCCTCCATAGCGTAGTCCATGGCTGACATTCCAGAAGCTGGTATCCGTGTTCCTTTCTTTCTTTCCTGTCTTTTTAAGGACCTTTAGATGCCTTCATATATGATGTTCTTGATGTCATCCCAAAGCCCATCAGGTCTTATGTTATTAAGGTTCAATGCTTCAAATCTGTTCTTGAGATGTTTGCAAAATTCAGGTTGTATTTTGGCTCTCATGACCTTGTCTTAATTTTCTTCTCTTCATCCTGAATTTACATATGAACAAAACAAACAAACAAGCAAGCAATCAAATAAAAAAGCAATAAAAAACCCCAAACAGCCAGCCCTTGGCCTGGTTTTAGCAGCTAATACTGAGCTTCTGTATCATCTTTTCCCACAACTGTATTCAGTTTTATTTCTGTGTATTCTACCTAGAGAAGTCCACATGTATAGTCACCTTTTTGTTATTGAAATAAGGTATTTTCGATGAGTAAATTGTTGATCTTGCAAAATTCTATCATGTGGTCTCCAGCTTCATTTTTACGACCTAGGTCATATTTTCCAACTATTTTAATCTCTAAATTTTCAGTCAAATCACCAATAATTAATAAAATGTCTTGATTGCCTGTTTAATCAAGTTTAGACTGAAGAAATTTGTAGACTTCTTCAATCACTAGATTTGGTACTTGCTTCTTCACTAGTAAATGGATAAAAAGTTGAAATGTAGACAAGATTTAAGTTGTTAAGAATTTTGTCTTGTTTGGATCCACAATCAATGTTCATGGAAGCAGCAGTCAGGAAATCAAATGACACAGTTCATTGAGTGAATAAATCTGCTGTCCAAAGACCTCTTTTAAGTGTTGAAAACAAAGGATGTTACTTTGAGGACTAAGGTGTGCCTGACCTAAGCCAGGGTATTTTCAGTTGCCTCAGATGCTTTGAAAGTTGAATATTGATTAAGGAAATTTAAAGAAGAATTCATGCATTTGAAATACAATGTTGGCAAAGAACATTAAAATGGACTGCCTAAAAGACAGACAGATATCTTGGAAGAAGTACAGCCAGAAAGTTTCTTAGAGGCTAGGATGGTGAGACTCAGCCTCATGTACTTTGGACATGTCAGGAGAGACCAGTCCCTAGAGAAGGACATCATGCTTGGTAAATAGAGGGGCAGCAACAAAGAATAAGACTGTCAAATTGACATAATGACACACTGAATACAGCAATAAGAACATATGAACAATTGAGAGGGTAGCTAAGGACTAGGTAGTGTTTCATTCTGTTGCCCAAAAGGTCCCGATTATTCAGAATTGACTCCAAAGGGACCTAACAATGATAACAACAGATAGCCACGTTGTTGTTCCAAGAAGCCTCTGAGTGGACTTGAACCTCTGAATTTGGCTGAGCATCCTTGGACTCTGCATGGAGTATACTGCTGTTAAAATCTGTAATTACCCAATGAATAAAAAATTGGTGTTTCTTAGTAAACTTGGCGTGTTTTTCTTTCTTCACATTTTCAATTGTCATATCGAAATTTTGGAAATTCCATGTGCATACCTTTTGGATGAGCATAGTTCTCAATTTTGTAGCACTCTTTATGAGCCTGGATGGCAAATTGGCTAAATATTTAGCTAATAAAGAAACGGTTGGTAGTTTACAATCTTCATCCTTAAAAACTGTAGCCTAGGGAAGCTGATGGAGTTTTATGCTGTCTTAAAAAGTTGCTTTGAGCAGATTCAACTGGACAATAGACAACAAAGATAGTAGGTTTCCATTGTTTGATGATTTTTGTTATCATTTTTTAAGTTGCAAAGAATTATACATGGAAAAACCTCCTTGATAACTTCATGTTTTATATCTTGCTTTTTTTCCCGATGAGGAAAGTAGAGCCAATTAAAGAATATCGGATATTAAGGAGTGTTCTCAGCATTAAGCAGCTACATTCTGATTTTCAACTAAATCTCCCATGTTGAGGAGGAAAAGAAAAATCAGATTGGTAAGCAAATAGTCTAGGAAATGGCTAGATACCGTAGGTTGGATTCTCTATTCTTATTAAATCTGTGATGCAATCTGTCTTCTTGTTGAAGCTATTAAACATTATTTTACTTCCAAATAATGTCCCTAAGAGAATCCAATTCACAAAATACTACCTTTGTTGTAGAGTATGGTTGTGTCATTGAGGAGGAGAAAGTATTCTACTGAATTTTTGCTCCCCTTATCTCAAAAGTAGAG